CAAAATGCACAACTTAACAAGTCAACAACTTACCTATTAATCGCCGAGGGAAGGGAGACTGGGGTCTGGGAGGTGAGGGATTCGGGTCAGGTGGCGGAGCTGTGAGCTGGAAGCTCGTCGGTGGAAGCTCGTCGCCGTCGTCGGTGGGGAAGCGGGAAGGTGGCGTTGCGGCCAGTCGGCGAGGGAAGCGGGAAGGTGGCGTTGCGGCCAGTCCGTCGTCGCCGTCGTGGCCCGTGGGAATCGCTGCGCTGCTGGTCGCCGTCGTCAGCAGAAGAAGCGGCCGGCGAATACGAGAAGAAGAAAAGAGGTGCCTCTCGCCTCTCTGCGATTTTCAAACGAAGAAGAGAAGAGAAGGGCTAGCGGCTAGGTTTCGTTGTTTAGGAATTAGGGTATACATTTGGGGGCCAATCAAAACGACGTCGTTTTGGGTTCGGTAAACGGTTTACCGATTTACCGTCGGTAAATACCGATACCGGATTCGGTAAACCGATACACCCCAGCCCACGCTCGGTCGCCGATACCGTCGGTAAACGGTTTACCGTTTTACCGAAAAACCGAATCCCACCCCTATGTCCAATCATATAACACTATAAGACTATTTGTACGACCTGTACTCTAATACGTGTAGCTGTTATCACTCACTCATTAAGCTGCTATGAATAATACAGACTTAGCGTTGGCGTTGCTGTATTTTGGTATTTTTGTAGCAATGCCATAAACTAGTCTTTTTGTTTTTGTCTTGTTCTCCTTCTCCAACCTCCACGCTCTCAATCCAAAATTGTCAGCAAGCAAAAGTCCTATCTATTTGCAAGCCACATGTTCCTGTTTTTGCAGTAACCTCTCTATCCAATGTATTTGCAAGCCACACTTCCAACTGGACAAACCACCAACAGCTACCATTTATAATTAAATAAAAAATTCAAGGGTGGTTTGAAAGTTTGCCATTTATGCATTGCGATGAATACTATCCATGAATATTATTAAACGTATAAGTGGTTTACTGTTTCATAACGGTTTTGCTAATTGGACAGGCTGTCATTTTCTTTGCTCACCAAGTGCCGCAGTGAGAAGTCTGCATCAATTAGTGGTAAAAGCATCCCCTGCTACCACATGTAACTTGTGGCATTTTTCTCATATTTTTGTGATTTGTGTAGGATTAATTTCCACCCACATGTATCCTAATTTCCAATATAAAGATCACTCCAGCCCCATTACCTCATTCATATCCTTTGGGGAGGAGGAGACAAGCATAATGTTCAATTACAACTGACAATGCGTAGGTTCGTGGGCGGATATCTCGATACTCATACTCGCTCCATAGCATGTCAGGTTCAAATTGGGTAATTTATTGTGGATCGGGACAGGTTGATTTGAATAATTTAACTAATTTTATCAAATAATAATTTTAGCATCTTCAACCACATAATTTATTAGGGGTATGTCATTGTGGATCACCGGATTCAGATACCAATAGTGTCACATTGTCTTATTGTTAAAAAAAAAACCTTTAATTGTGCATGGAACTAAAGTTTAGAACTTAACTATGAACAATACTTCATATATCTATATATTTGAGCAGTACGTTCTCTTGCATAAGTATGTCCAACGGGTTAGCAGATAAGACTTGGAAACATTTCCATTGCCGCAGCAAAGCGCGGCACATAACAATCTAGTATTAATGAATTTGGTGTATTGTAAAGCACACATTTTTGTATGTGTAATTGTAATTTTAAGTGGTGAATGAAACATGAATTCAATAATCACAACTAAAAGCTGATTTAGTTAAATCATGCAATTTGAACAATAATTTATACCAAATTAGTTCATAAATTGTATATTAACAAATATATTCTAAAAAGTTATGTATTTTAACAATTCAAGAAACAATAACAATTTCCCAACGTGTATGGTTGTTTTCTAAAAATTATTGTTAAGAATTACACAGGTAGGTAAATAGTACATACATACAGAAAAATCAAAATCGATATCCCCAATCTGGAAAAATAATAATTTAATCGAAAAGATAAAGTAACGGGAAAAAACTGAAAAAAGGACAGAGGGAGCGATGGTGGAGAAAGAAGCGGGAGAAGCCACCACCGCCGCCGCTTCCTCCATGAGCTTCGACCTCCCGGAGGAAGTATTGCAGGTGCTTCCGTCGGATCCATTCGAGCAGCTCGACGTCGCCCGCAAAATCACCTCCATCGCCCTCGGCACCCGCGTCTCCTCCCTCGAGGCCGAATCCGCTTCCCTCCGCGACCAGCTCGCCGACCGGGAAAATCTCATCTCCGACCTCTACTCCCAGATAGAATCTCTCGACGCCGCCCTTTCCGCCGCCTCCGACAAGCTCTCCGTCGCCGACCAAGAAAAGGTCCTTTGATTTCCTCTCCCCTTGCCTTGCCCCGCTTGAATTTTCTTTTTAATTTTTTTTGGATTTTGAACAGGATAACTTGTTGAGAGAGAATGCTTCGCTCTCCAGCACTGTCAAGAAGCTCCAGCGCGATGTTGCCAAGGTTCGTCTTTCTTCGTGAATTTACCGGAATTTTCACAATTCTCTGATTGAATTGTTAGGGTTTTTGGAATTGAGGAATTCTGATTGATTGCGTGGCGGTTAGTTAGTTTCTCAAATTATGCTGTTTGAAAAATGTGGTATTGCTTGCAGTTGGAGGTTTTCAGGAAGACGCTAATGCAGTCTCTTCAAGAGGATGAAGACAGCTCTGTGAAAAGCACTGTGAGTGAGCAGTGTGGTTTTATTTCATTTCCTCAAATCAAAATTGAGTCTTTTGGGAGTTGAGAAGGTGATAGGAAATGTTGGTTTTTTCTTTGCAGGGGGGTGGAGGAGCTGTAGGAACTCCTCATATCATTGCTAAACTGACGCCTAACGGTATTACATCGATTCAAATACATTGGCTTCCTTTTTTTCCCAGTTGCAGTTGATTGGAACTAACTTGGGGAAAACTTGGGATTCAGAGGATGATGCCATATTGCCACCTTTAAGATCATCTTCAACTGTGAGCCAGTTCTCGGAAGTGGGGAGCTCTTATACCGAGGATCGTAGCTCAGATGGTATGTTGTGCCATGCGAATGCCAATCACTTGCTTGGAAAATCTTCTACAAGTTGATTAACATGCTCTTTCTACTTTTCAAACTACGACTATATGTGAGATTTGGTTCTTGGTTGATGTTGTTTGGCAGCGACGAGGCCTGGCTTGTCGAAGTCGATGCTGCTAGCATCGCAGACAAGCACACCAAAGCTGACACCGCCTGGTTCTCCTCCGATATATTCAGCTTCAGCATCTCCTACCAGATCGTCTAAATCCGCTTCACCAAGGCGAAGTGCGATGTCGTTTTCTACATCCAGAGGGATGCCCGACGACAGGTTCTCCTCTCTCTCACCAGGCCAGTACAGTTCCGTCTCGAGCTCAGACACAGCATCACAAACTGGTTCGCAAATTCACTACTTCCAATGCTGATCAAAAGAATTAGAATCTTTTCTGCGATCTCACTTACTTTTGGTGTTACAGGGAGAGCTCGAGTTGATGGGAAAGAATTCTTCCGCCAAGTTAGGTAATCACTTGCTTGAATCACATTTACATTTCACTCTCGGACTCCATTAGCTTCAAGCTTCTAACTTCTAGTTTTCTCTGTCAATAGTTGTTAATCTTAACCCAATCCCACGTTCATGCAGGAGCCGTTTGTCATACGAGCAGTTCGGTGCATTTCTGGCTAACGTCAAGGAATTGAACTCCCACAAGCAAAGCAAAGAGGTAGCTATCTATCTATCTGTCTCATCAATTGTTTCACTCCCCTATTCTGTAACTTCCTTTGACTGCAGCCATCATTGTTTCAATGCAACTATCTCTGTTCTGCAGGAAACACTGAGGAAGGCAGAGGAGATTTTCGGGTCGGAGAACAAGGACCTTTACGCGATATTCGAAGGATTGATCTCTCGAAGTAGCGTACATTGAAACACTACCATAACCAGCTTCCTGTATCCATATGTTGTGTTCTTGTCCCGCCCCACATTTTTTACATCTCGGGTGTAAATTCTTTGCCATCATGTACACAACTCTCCCCCTCTCTGTGTTTCCCCACTTCTATCGATCATGTGCATGGTGTATTACTTCACTGACTGTTAAATAATTTAAGCCTGAGAAAAGAATCTCTTTGATACTGGACAAAGGGAAATTCAATAATAAGTTGTTCTGTAAGGAAAGGAACCCCCATTTGGCTACATTTTGCTTCGAAGTTTGGAATACAGAAGGATTCGAGGCTGTAAGTCTATGATAATGCATGTGGATTAGTGTTTGATTATTCAATAATCGACAATTAGCAGCGGTAACAAGATTGTGATCAAGTCTAAAGTTAGCCGTCTGCATTTCTCAAGTCCAGAAGGATTGCTTCTGTTTGCTGAACCTTCTCCTTCAAAACCGACTAACCGATAGGCCAGTCGGTGGTGGTTTCGGTTGAAAGTTTTGAGCATGTATCGGTGTCGGCTAATTGATTGGTCGGTTCTGTTAAACCGAAACCGCACCGATTATCAACCCTACTTTAGAGAGACTCAAGAAGGCCTTTTGGGAATCTAGTATATGTGGGGTCAATTCTATAATTATTGATCACTGAAATCTGGGGTCGCTAACAATGCAGTCAATGAACTTTCGTTCTCAACCAATTCGTTGATGAAGTTTGAAATACTTACCATAATAGTCAATAAATCGAACTAACGAAAAAGTGATGAGATATATGACAATTAACGAATATGTACAACTGATTTTCACTTATACATGATCACGAACAAAATCTGTTACTTGACTTAATTTTAAATTTATGATTATTTTCTTGTAGTTAGAGGTCTTTGTGCAATTTTTATTATTAAGGTTGGCGGGACGGTACGCTGATTAAGATACTTTGGACGAAAAATTTGACAAACGAATGAAGTGAATATTATTATTATTATTATTATTATTATTATTATTATTATTATTATGTAGTTAATAATAAAATTCCAGTGACCAATTTATCAATAAATACCATAGTTTAGTGAATGTTTATATGATATGACCCACCTTATTCATCCATGATTCATCTCTCTATCAATCAAACCCTAGTGATAGCAATCATTTCGAATCAAGTGAATGAGCAAAGTTGCTTTTCTTGCAGGCCCCTCAAACCCGTCGGCCTTGAAAGGAACCTGAGCGGCCAACATGTTAAGAAACCGTTAAAAACTGCATAACTATGATTTCTTTGTGACAGTTGCCATGGTACACGCGGGAAATCTGAATATTTCCCACCACCATAATCTATGTACAGGCTTGCTCTTCTTTCAAGCAGCCAGTCGAACCAACCCTGCAAAAATATCACACAATGTAGATTGGAGAGCACATTTCTTCTTCCTCCTTTTTAAGGTGAATTCAATGATGAATAAATGGCAAAGTGAGAGGAGGAAGAGAGAGAAAATCATTGAAAACCCTAATTTTTATCAAAAAACAACATTCCATCCTTCGATAATTTTCAAGACCTTTTGATTTCCCCCTTTTTACATTTCCTCTGCATTTGTCTCAGTGAGAAGAGAGAGAGGGGGGGGAGGGGCATTTCTCCCTCTCTCTAGGTAGCCTTAATATCATGGATGATGGTGGTCGATCAGCGCCTCCTCCTCAAACTTCCTCATGGTCGTCGTTTCAACATTTTAACCTTTGGCCCAAATTCTCCATGTAATTTTGTTAACCCATTTCCCCCTTTTCTCTCTTTTCTTTCTTTCTCTTTCCTCTTCTTCCCTCTTCGGTTCTGTTTGGGGTTGAGGGGAAAAAAGAAAAAAAAAACGAAAACAAACAATGACCTTTGATCAAACATTGTTCATACAGCAGCAGCGTACTAGCTTGATTGCATGTTTGTCTTCCAACTGCCATTCTTGTAATACCCAGATTTTAAATTTTTTTAAAATTTGCACGCTTGGTGTTCGATCATTTTCCTGAAAGAAAAATACATTGTCTCATTATGTTCATTTGTGTTTTTTTTTCCTTCTGCGTAGTGGCAACAATGGTTCTTCTCGAGAGCCAGCCAAAGAAGGCATCCAAGACAAAGGGCCGCAGCCTATCACAGGAAGAAGAAGTCGAGCTGGCTTCTCCGACTCCTTTCAAGATCTTGGTATGATCAAAGATATCGACTCTTTTTTCTTTTCATCCCTTTTTATTCCTTTACCTTCTCAACATTCTTGTTGAGTCATTTTCCGTTTTATGAAAATTGGATTATGATGGTAACTTCAATGGTAGACCGATTTTTATCTCAGACGTGGGATCTTTAATTGTTGACGACCACAACGAAGACAAAGATAAAGCTCAGCAGCCTCAGGTTCAAGTTAATAATAAACAATCTCAACAGCCAGAGGAAGAGGCTGGGGTCAAGAAGTCAGAGTCCTCCCCAAAGAAAGTAGCGTCAGGAGATAACCCTGGTGTCGTTACCCTAGAACCAATCGTCATTCCCCAACCCACAGGAAGTCCCAAAGGTAACCCTGCCATCATAGGCACCCCGACGACCAACAAAGCATCACCATCAACAGCAATTGTTGCTTCTGATCAGCCACCCCAACTTCCCAACACCTCTGGCACGGACGCACTTTCCATAGTTCCTTTAGTCTGGCGTGATTTTTGCAAGGTGTTCAAGAAGGGGCCCACCCCATTGATAAAAAAACAGAACATCCCAAGTCTGAAAAAAGCTGTCCCTAAGCTCACCAGAAGGAAGAGCAAAAGGATTCGAGACGGCATGGTCCCACCATTGAGTTCCCCACTCGATGCTGAACTTTGTTACCTCAAACCTTCATGGAAGAATTTCGCTCTCTGGGAGTTGCTTGCTGCCACAGACAATTATAGTCGGGGTTAGAAAATTATTCTTTGTCATTCATACGTTGTCTTGATTGAACGTTGAAATGACGATGTTATGAAATTTCTCTCTTTTTGTTTCGTTTTGAAGATAACTTGATTGGAGAAGGAGGGTATGCGGAGGTTTACAAAGGGAAATTGGCTGACGGGCAGTTCGTTGCCATAAAAAGACTAGTCAGAGGCAATTCACCGGAAGAGATGACCATGGATTTTTTATCTGAGCTCGGGATTATCTGCCATGTTGACCACCCCAATATTGCTAAATTAATTGGGTATGGTGTTGAAGGGGGAATGCACCTTGTTCTTCAGCTGTCTATCAATGGAAGCGTCTCATCTTTACTCTACGGTTAGCTTCTTACTTGAGATTAGCAATGTGATTAAGGTTTCAGATTAAAATGTTCCATCAAAGTTGTTCTTCTTCACGCACAGGACCAAGGGAAAAGTTGAGCTGGCCGATTAGATACAAGATTGCTGCAGGAACGGCTGAGGGGCTTTTGTACCTTCATGAGGGTTGTCAGAGGAGAATTATTCATAAAGATATCAAGGCAGCTAATATTTTGCTCACAGAAGATTTCGAACCTCAGGTTTGGTTGGTTCACTTTTATGTACCTTCAAGAATTTAAGTCATATATTTGTTGCCATTGCCATTTGAATCACATTTCTATTTTGTGCTAATGCAGATTTCAGATTTTGGGTTAGCAAGATGGTTACCAGAGAACTGGACGCATCACACTGTATCAAAAATTGAAGGAACCTTTGGGTTTGTAAATACAAAAACTTCCCTTTTCATTGCTTTACCACTTGGCATTGAGCTCCTTTCTTAAGAAAGGTTTTAACTCCTTCATCACAGTTACCTTCCTCCCGAGTTCTTCATGCATGGGATAGTAGATGAGAAAACAGATGTTTTTGCTTATGGAGTTTTATTACTAGAGCTCATCACAGGAAGACAAGCCATTGACAGTTCACAACAAAGCCTCGTGATGTGGGTGTGTGCGACATCCCCCCTCTTCCCGTCCAACTTAAAATTCCTCAATTCCTATTCTACAACTAAAAACAAAAAGTCTTAAACTGTTGTTGCCTTCCTTCACTTTTGTAGGCTAAACCATTGCTTATGCAAAACAAGATCAGTAACTTGGTAGACCCGGTCCTGGGTGACTCATACAACATGGAACAGATGGAGCGTGTCGTTTGTCTAGCTGCAATGTGTGTTGAACAGGCCTCGGTTCAGAGGCCACAGATGAGCCAGGCAGTGGAGATTCTGAGCGGTGATGGGAGCACATTAGAGGAAGTGAGACGAAGACAGAAGTCCAAGCTCCAAAGAACATACTCCGAGGAGCTTTTCGATGCAGACGAGTACAATTCGACGAGGTACTTGAGTAATCTCAACATACATTTGGAGGATCTCTTGGAACCGGATGATAGCATTAACGATTATCCTAACAATGATGATGATGATGATGATGATGAGGCTTTTGTCGAGGCTTCTGAATATGTCAAGTCGCCATCAGAACACGAAGAGGAGAACTCAACCAACCATGAGGATGGTGATGCAGAGAAGTTGTCGAATGTTGCGGAGGAGAAATCGATAGATGGTGACAAAGGGAAATCCAATGATGTGGATGATAAAAAAGAATGAGAACTAAAAAGATAGAAGGGAGTGTTTTTCTTATTGCTTAAGTACTTGTCGTAGAAGAAGATCACATCTCAGACATTTTTCTTGGGAAGTAAGTACTTTCAGGAAAGAAGCTCGGGGGATAACGGCATGGTGGAGAAAGGAACTCCATATTGTACAAAGAGAGAGAGAGCGAAAGAGGAACAAAGCAAAAGATATCAAACTACACTAGAGTAGCTTGAACGAGAAACTTATGAAATTGTACATGGAAAAAGAAGACTAGTTTGGAAAACCCCACTAAAACAATGAAAGATTGGTTGGGTTGTGCTACTGCTATATTTCAACAGTATATTGATTAAATAGACTTCACATTGGCATCGGGGGCCATATAAAGACACATATGATTAAGTCGAGTTGTTGCTTGGCATCGAACATCAGCTGATGGCGAATGTTAGAACGTGTTTCTTTGATTGATTATTAATTTTAGATGCGCTCTTGCAATATTTGGATTCCACCAAGCGTCTTTATCTGTTGTACGTTATTTTTCCGACTCATTCGCCTATTTGATCTAGGGAAGTATAAGAAATCAATAATGCATCAGAATTGTGGAAGAACCTGCAGGGCTCTTTGTGGCGCATAGCCTTGTATATATACTCTGTCTCCTTCTCAACGAAGGGATCAGTGAAAAGTTACCCAGCTGATTTACAACGGTAACAGACAAAGAAAATCTACCTACCAATGAAAGAAAGACACGTGCATATGTACAGTAAAAGTAAAACAACTCAGCTAAACTAACTAAGACGACGTCGCCTCTACTCAGCTTCTCAATTACTTCCGAGGGAAACGATGTCGTCCTAGGAGCTCGTTAGTATCACTGCTTGTGGTTCAACGCTTCAATCCTTAAGTCAACTTCATCTTCTTCATTACGCCCCCTCAAGTCTGGGCATACAGATTCTGGATGCTCAGCTTGGACAATAAATACTGAAGCCGAAATCGACTCAATCCCTTGGTAAACATGTCAGCAATTTGATTCTCTGTATCAAGGTGACTGAGCGAGATCAACTTGGATTGAAGGAATTGTCGAACCACGTGACAATCGATTTCTATGTGTTTCGTTCTTTCGTGAAACACTAGGTTCTCGGCGATGTAAATGGCCGATCGATTGTCACAGAAAAGTTCCACAGGCTTCGGATGTTCAATATGTAACTCCTGCAGAAGTCTTTTGACCCATACCACTTCACAGGTAAGCTGAGCAAGAGCTCTGTATTCAGTTTCCGATGATGATCGTGAAATGGTCCCCTGTTTCTTTGATTTCAAGATTATCAGAGAAGATCCCAATGAAACACAGTAACCAGTGGTCGATCTTCTCGTATCAGGGCATGATGCCCAATCCGAATCACTATAACCTCTGAGTAGCAGGTCAGATGAGGAAGAATAAAATAGACCTTGACTCGGAGCATTCTTCAAATACTTCAGGACTCTGTGAGCAAGCTGCATATGAGTCACTGTGGGTGCTGCTTGATGCTGACAAAGTTGTTGCACAGCAAAGGTGAGATCAGGACGAGTAATCGTCAAGTAATGCAGTCGCCCCACAATCCTTCTAAACAATCGTCCATCTTCTAACAAGGGCCCATCATCAGCTGAAAGTCTAAGTTTCATGTCAATAGGAGTAGCAAATGGTTTCGAATCAGAGTAACCTGTATCATTCAAGAGATCGGTGCAATACTTCCTTTGACATATATGAATGCCCCCCTGTGATCTCGCAATCTCTAATCCAAGGAAGTAACGGAGTTGGTCGAGATCACGAATACGAAACTGAGTGCTCAAAAAAGTCTTTAAATCGGCAATGGCTTGCAAATCGTCTCCTGCCAGGATAATGTCGTCCACATAAACAAGTAAAATAGAGATGACAGAGGTACTATGATGAACAAACATCGAGTAATCACTGGACGATTGCAAGTAACCAAAGCTCAGTAACGCAGTAGTAAGCTTCGAAAACCATTGACGGGAAGCCTGTTTCAGGCCATAAAGCGACTTCTTCAGTAGACATACTTTGCCTGGAATGTCAAAGCCAGGAGGTAAGTCCATATAAACTACCTCGTTTAAATCTCCGTGTAAGAAAGCGTTGCTGACATCAAGCTGGAAAAGCGACCAATTCTTAGCAGCAGCAAGTGCGAGCAAAGTTTTAACATAATTCAGCTTAGCCACTGGAGAATACGTATCTAAGAAATCAACCCCATAGATTTGGGTGAAGCCTTTTGCCACAAGTCTGGCTTTGAATCGTTCAAGGATTCCATCAGGGAGAAATTTAATGTTGTAAACCCATTTGTTCCCAACTGTGCGAATCCCAGGAGGTCGATCCACGACATCCCAGGTCTGGTTGTCATAAATAGCCTTGAATTCCACATTCATAGCTCGTCTCCAGCGCTCATCTTGAACAGCTTCTTCAAATGTTGTTGGAATAACATAACTGTTTACTGCACAAACATACTTCCTGTATCCAGGTGACAAGTTGTCATAGGATATGCAAGCAGCCATTGGATATTTACGCTTGTCAATGCATGATTTAGATGAGTTAAGTTGCAAAACATAATCATGAAACTTGACTGGTTGAACATGTTGTCTGGCAGGTTTTCTGAGTGCAATGGGGAGAGAAGGGGAAGTGGAGGATGATGGCTGGGAAGAAGAAGTTGAGGTAGGAGTGACCTGAGGTGTGGTGGGAGAAATGGGAGTAGTTGGAGAGGAGTGGGGAGAAGGTGAAGGTGAATCAGGTATGGGAGGAGCAGGTACAGGAGAAGGAATAAAGGCTTCATCAGGAGCTGGAAAGGGATGTGAAGGTAGAATGGGAGATGGTTCTGTGGGAGGAGGTGATGAAGTAGGAGTAGAAGAAGTGCAAGGAAGGATAGTCTCATGGAAAATGACATCACGAGAATAGAAAAACTTATGATCATTGAGATCAAGAAGCTTATAACCTTTAATTGCAGGGGAATAACCCAGGAAAGCACACTGTTTTGCCCTAGGGAAGAACTTAGTACGATGATGGCCCAAAGTACTAGCATAACAAAGGAAACCGAAGACTTTGAGTGAAGAAAGGTCTGGAGGACTACCATAGAGTACCTCGTATGGGGTTTTGTTATCAAGAGAAACAGTAGGAAGGCGGTTAAGAAGGTATACTGCATGTAAAATGAAGTCAGACCAGTACTTAAGGGGTAAGCCAGATTGAAATTTTAAAGATCTAGCAATGTTCAAGATGTCCTGATGCTTTCTCTCGACTCTAGCATTCTGCTGGGGTGTATCTATGCAGGACATTTGATGCATAATGCTTTGTTGTGAGTAGAACTCAGGCATTTGGAATTCTGCTCCCTGGTCAGACCTCACAGTTTTAACTCTCTTGTCATACTGGTTGCTAACCATAAGACAGTAGTCTTGCAAAAGTTTCCTAGCCTCTCCCTTAGACTTCATAAGGTAAACCCAAACACAACGAGACTTGTCATCAACAATGGTGAGAAAGTAGGAAAATCCATTGTAGCTTGAAATGGCCAAAGGGCCCCAAATGTCAACATGTATCAAATCAAATACATTCTTTGCTATTGATTGACTCAAAGGAAAGGGAAGTCGTTTCTGTTTAGCAAAATGACATACATCACAATGATGTAACTCTCCAACTTCTATACTAGGTATTGATTTCTGTAACTCTTTTACTCTAGACTGTGAAGGGTGGCCAAGCCTCCAATGCCACAAATCAAATGATCGAGGTGAAAGATTGGGAGTCCTGATGGAATTGATGTGTATGGTATGACCTCCTGATTGATTGACAAGTTGGTATAAACCCTTAATTTGATGGGCAGAACCAATCTTCTTCAAGGTGAGATGGTCCTGGATATCACACACATTGGATTTAAAAATGAGTGAGACTGGAAGGGAATTTGTTAACTTGCTAACAGAAACTAAGTTGAAAGAAAAGGCTGGAACAAAAAGAACTCCATGAAGAACTAAGCCAGAAGAAAGCTTGACTGTTCCAGAATGAGTAGCTGAAGTCTTGGAGCCATTTGGCAAAGTGATGTAAGTGTTTGTAATGGGAGTGTATTTAACAAAACTAGACAATGCACAAGTAACATGATCAGTTGCTCCCGTATCAAGAAACCATACATTGACAAGCTCTAATGGGTGCTGCAGGAAGTGTGAAGATAGGGTATATTTACCTGCAGAGTTTGGATTCACAGTCATGTGTCTGCTGACAGAATTAATGGAGACTTGAGGTTGCTGTGATGGAGTAGCAGTGTTGTTGCGAGGTGGAGTAGGTGAGGAAGGTGGACTCAGTTGTGAAAGAATCCTTTGAAGCCTAGTGAGGTCTTCTGATGACAATCTGACATTAGTGTAGCCATCTCCACTCTCAACAGCACTCTTAGATTCAGGAGAAGGCAAGATGCCAAGAGTATTATGCTCATTGCCCTGAATCTGACCAGCAAACCCAGATGAGTTTCCAGATTCCTTGTTCTTCTTCTTCTTCAATTTATAGCAATCAGAGATAACATGGTTCTCTTTCTTGCAGTATCTGCAGAAGAGACCTCCTTTAGGAACTTCCTTCCCCTTTGACTGATTCCCAGCATATAAAGCCACTGAGTCAACCTGTGATGACTCTTGAATGGGTTGAGCAATCTGTCTTTCATGTTGAATTGCATAGTGAAAGGCAGTTTCCATCGATGGCAAGGTATGCATCATAAACAAATTTGTCCTGACTCCTCCATATGTAGCATTCAAACCAGTAATAAACCTAGTGACAAATTCGTTCTCCCTATACTTCTTGACAGTCGTCATAGTGATGCAGTTCTCAACATTGTTATCAGGACCTCCACATTCACACTTAGGTATAGGGAGAAACTGTTGCAACTCTTCCCAATATCCTTTCAGCTCAGAATAAAACTGGTTCACAGATTTGTTACCTTGTTTTAGAGTGTAATCTGCAGTTTGTAGATCACCTACTATGATGTTATCAGCTTGGCCAAAACGTTGCTTCAGATCTTCCCAAAGCAGTCGAGCATTGTCCTGCGAAGAAACACTGTCGACCAGACTCGGGTCGAGGGAGCTAAGGATGAGGAAATACACAGATGTGTTGCTTTGTTCCCAAGCTGCAAAAGAGGCATCAGTAGGTGCTGGAGCAGGCAGATCTACTGTTATGAACCCCAATTTGTTTCGACTCTTAAGAGCCACCCGAACCGTCCTGCTCCACATATTGTAGTTGGAAGTACCAAGCAGCTTGATTGGGAAGACGAGAGACTCGTTAGGGTTAACATAGTATGGACTCGTCACTGTCCCAGGAACAGCAGTCATGGCACCAGCAGTTGATGAGGATGAAGAAGAATTTGTAGTCATAGTTGTTTAGACACAAAGTAAGAGAGGAAGAATGCGGGTAAGGGACGAAACCCTAGATGCCTGAACGAGGCTCTGATACCATAAGAAATCAATAATGCATCAGAATTGTGGAAGAACCCGCAGGGCTCTTTGTGGCGCATAGCCTTGTATATATACTCTGTCTCCTTCTCAACGAAGGGATCAGTGAAAAGTTACCCAGCTGATTTACAACGGTAACAGACAAAGAAAATCTACCTACCAATGAAAGAAAGACACGTCATATGTACAGTAAAAGTAAAACAACTCAGCTAAACTAACTAAGACGACTTCGCCTCTACTCAGCTTCTCAATTACTTCCGAGGGAAACGATGTCGTCCTAGGAGCTCGTTAGTATCACTGCTTGTGGTTCAACGCTTCAATCCTGAAGTCAACTTCATCTTCTTCATTAAAGTAGAATGCAATTACAGTGTGTCCAGTTTGTAAAGAGTCTATTAGTTAGTTAACCATTAACGACGTTGCAAGATTGTGAAGAATTTGAAGGGAACCAACAAGATTAGAGAACGGAAAAATGCGCCAATAAGGATGTGCCTCGTTTCCAAGTGCTGTATAATGAGTTATGACCTCTTCGCCGTCATCCGTTTGTCAACACGACGCCTTCCGACGAAGACAAATATCTCCTAATCTCTTCTTCTCACCGCCAAAGCCAACAAAGATCAATTCACAAAGTCTCACTTCCATGGCTACTATGAATCTAAAGCGTCTCTTTTTCTTCCTCTTCTCGACCTCATTGCTCCTCCACGAATCTACCGCCTACCCTGCTACTGCCAGTTCCATTGTCGATCCCTCCAAAGTCAAACAGGTCTCATGGAAGCCAAGGTTTGCTGCTCGAACTTGGACTTGGGTTTGATTACTGGCTTCCCCTTCTTGGCAAAGATGGCACCTTTAGGGATTTTTTTCTCACAATTTTCTGCAGGGCATTTGTGTACCAAGGGTTTCTCACGGACTTGGAATGCGATCACTTGATCTCCCAGGTGAGATCATTACCCATTTTTTACTAGTTCGAAGAGATGGTGAACCCAATTGTCCTCTGATTTGTTATTGGGTTTGCAATCCAGGCGAAATCGGAGTTGAAGAGATCAGCAGTTGCTGATAATTTGAGTGGGCAGAGTACGCTGAGCGAAGTTCGAACCAGCTCTGGTATGTTCACTTCATTCCCAAGGGAAAGGTTTTGCTGCTTCGTTTACTTTCCATTTTGAGCATATATGTGCTTGAATTGGATCTTGTTAGTATAATCACTTTTGCTTCAATTCTTCCAATTTGGGGATTTATCTGTTAGCTTCCTTGCCAGTCTCTGTTCTATCATAACTGTTTCTTGTTCTTTTGGGCATTTTTCTTGTTTCTGCTACTTTCCAGGATCCGATTGTTGCTGGCATTGAAGAAAAGATTGCAACTTGGACTTTCCTTCCAATAGGTTTGCCATTTTCCCTAATCATACACGATCGATTTTTGTGTATCCCTCATTTCATTCTTTGGTTCAAGTGCTTTACTTTGGCTTGTGGTAATGTGATGATGAACTTAAACCAGTGATCTTAGGACTAGCCAAATGGTTGTTGTTTCAATTCAGGTTCATTTTGTAAGACATATTTGACTAGTGGATGTGTTGTAAATTGTATAATTTATCAGGTTGGTTATTACTTTGGGACTTCTATATATCTTTCTTTATGGTGCCTTTTTCCTTGTATACTTGTATTAGGCATATATAAGTGGTTCTTCAGCTTCATCATTTCTCTTTCTTTCTCAAACAATGGGGGAGGACATTCAGGTGTTGAGATATGAGCATGGGCAGAAATATGATCCTCATTTTGATTACTTTGCTGATAAGGTCAACATTTTCGTGGTGGACACCGTGTAGCAACTGTGCTCATTTACCTTAGCGATGTTGAGAAGGGCGGCGAGACTGTGTTCCCTTCTGCAGAGGTTGGTAGTTCAAAGGTTCCTTTTATGTGTCTGAATATGCTGTTCCTAGTACTCGTAATTGCTGAGACAAGTTTTAGCAACAGGAACCTCCACGTTGTCGTAGCGTTGTGAAAGAGGATCTCTCTGAATGTGCTAAGAAAGGAGTTGTAGGCGAGCTTGTATAGACGTAACTTAAGTGCCTTGGATCTCTCTGAATGTGCTAAGAAAGGAGTTGTAGGCGAGCTTGTATAGACGTAACTTAAGTGCCTTGGTGGTCATTAAACTATGAGTGCTTGTAGTTAAAGGATCACTGACTTGAAAATCTTAGCATTGAACTGAATGGCTTGTGACAAAGCATTGATTCTGTCTAAGTTATCGATAATTTGACTAAGTCAACATGCCAAATAGTTTTGACATGCCACCCCGCCCGGTTAGGAAGCATCCCCACGCAACTTCCACACCCTTTTCCAACTTGAACGCAAGGTTTGTGGGCTGGGGTCGAGTTGGGGGCCATGTGACCTAGCCCTTCCAAACTCGTGGATGGGTTGGTCATGTGCTTTTGCTTGTAAGGTTGGGAGTATGGTTTGTGGGTTAAGACCAAGTGATTACTGGGGTGCCGATTAGGGTGATTATGGTCGCATGGCGAATATATTTGGCATTTGCTGACTCATCGGTACTAATGGCAATTTAGATGGAAGGAAACTGATTGACTGTTTTGTTGCAGTCTTGCAGATCACATAGTTAGTGACTATTCAGGCTTTAAACTCGTACAAAATGATATACTTGATCTATACAGAATAGGTCATTATGTTGTCTCAATTTGTTCTGTGTGTCAATAACCTTTCCCCAAAGTTTCTGCATCTCATCATCTCAGCTCACTAATGTCTTAAACTATAACACTGCAGTGAAACCACGAAGAGGAGATGCACTGTTGTTCTTCAGCCTCCTCCCAACAGCCATACCGGACACCAGCAGCCTCCATGCTGGTTGCCTGGTGTCGAGGGTGAGAAATGGTCCGCAATAAAGTCGATCCACGTGGACTCATTCGACAAGAATTTAGAGGTTGTTGGTGGGAACTGCACAGACCAAAATGAGAGCTGTGCAGCTCTGGGGGGTGCACGAAGAATCCCGAGTATATGCTGGGTTCAGCTGAAGGAGCTGTAAGGCATGTTAGGGAGAGAGAACCCCCACCACTGGCATCACTTCCCCCTTTGTAATCTAGACATGAGGTTGTTTCCCTCCTATAATCTTTTTTTGAAGGTGACATCCTGTTTCTATGATGAACCTCAAGGTTGTTTGTTGTAGAAAAATGTTTGTAGATTGTGTTGGATCCTCCCGTTTTGCTTACTTTTGCTGGAGTTTCTATCATACATGACGATGTGTATAAGGATGGTACACGATTCATTTCTTTCAACAACTCTAGGTTATTGAAGTCGGTTTCCTTTCGCAACAGTCAGATTCTGGGCACAAGCTCATAACAATAACACTGATATCATTGGTTCATAAATCAATGTCGTAACTTCATTTGTATCATTCAGTTCAAGAGTTTTGATTACTGATGGAGCCAAGAGAGTTTATGGAGGGGAGATCTGTCTTCTTTTTTTTTATTTCTGAGTGATATCAATGAGAAAAAATAGTTAAGCTTACAATTCTACACAGGACCCCTAGAAGGCTCTACTGAAGCCACCACTAAGAAATCAAAAGATTCTAGCTCTACAAGAGACAAAAGCAGTGGGCAGCACTGTTTGCGGATCTAGGTACCGCTCTAAACTCTATACAAACAGACAAAGAGCTAAGGATTTGGAAACACTCTCGTAACACCGAACCACCAAGCGAATCTTCTAAGACGCCATGACGGACTTGATTGACCACCACTTCGGAGTCGCCTTCGACTATCACGTGAGACAAGGATCTTGAAGCTACAAAGGAGATAGCATCCCTGAAAGCTAGAAGTTCAGCCATATAAGGGTTGACAATTCCTTGATGCTGCAACCCGACTGCCAACGTAACATGCCCGTCTGAGCCACGGATAACAAGCCCAGTCGAACATCCAGAGGCGCTAACAGCTGCGTCGACGTTGATCTTCAAAAAGCCTTCTGGTGGAGGGATCCAATAGGTGGCTGAGATGTTTGGGAGTAGAGAGATGCGGGGAGGAAGGGGGGGGGGGGGAAGGAGACTGGAAAATTCAAGGACCTGGTTGTAGAACTGTCTGGCTAAGGAACGGACATGGGGTTGGGTAAATTCAAACGTCACTTCATTTCTAGACTTCCAGATTCTCCAAAGTAAACAGACGCATTGGAGAATGTGGAATGGGGAGGTCTCGGAGACCATGACATGTTGCCACCATAGACTAAAATTAACAGTCTGGGCGGTCTCAATATAGTTTCTCAATCCCACTAAAGACCACAATCTGATGGCTAGGGGGCATCTGGAAAATAAAATGTTCAATACTTTCTCGATGTCTCCAGCAGACAGGGCACGGTTAAGGCAGTTTACTCCACGAGATTGAAGGGCCACTACTGTGGGGAGTATGATTTTGAGGCATTGCCATATGAAGAATTTGAGTTTAGGCGGAACTTCGATGTTCCAAGTCTTTTTCCAAATAGGAGGGTCGATGATATGCACTATCGGTTTTCGACTTGATGCTAATATTATTTCCAAGGCTAAGTGATAACCTGATTTAAATGTGTATTTACCATCTTTGGAATAGTGCCACACTCTAATGTCTTGCTGTGAGTAACGAGGAAGAGGAATTCTCCTTATGAGATCAACAGACTGAGATTCAAAGCAATTTTGGAGCTTTTAAACTTCTCATTCCCCTCGACCTTCTTTTATAAAGTAGGATACCATAGGAGATCCATGTTGAATGTGAGGTCGTGTGTTCGGGACTAAGGGTTTATCCCCCGGTATCCAGTTATCAATGAACGCTCGAGTTCTTAGCCCATTGCCTATTTGCCATCTTAATCCCTGGAGGAGTAGATCTCTTCCAAAGAGTAGACTTCTCCACCCCCATGAAGGGTTTGAACCGATTGATGCTTCCAACACCGAACATTGATTAAAGTATCGGCCCTTATAAATCTGGGAAAGGAGTGAATTTGGATTGGTCCATATTCTCCAACATTGTTTGGCTAGCAACGCTTGATTGAAGGCTTCAAAGTCCCTGAATCCAAGACCTCCATGGAACTTACTATGTGCTAGGCTTTTCCAAGACAACCAGTGGATTGGGTGATCTGAATTTTGTGTCGTTCCCCACCAAAACTTTGCGACATGACTGTTTAATCGTCTACAGTTTTCCTTGGGGAGCTTGAAACATGACATTCCTAGTACTGGTATATTAGTAGCCGATGTTCTAATAAGAATGTCTTTCCCGACTTTCGAAAGGGAACGTTGTTTCCACCCTTGTAACTTCTTAATAAGTTTCTCTTCCATGAACTGGAATGTATCCCCTTTTTGATTTAGATAAGATGGCTGGTAGACCTAAATAGGAGTCATGTTCTCCTATGGTTCCGACACCCAATTGAGCACCCATAATTTGAGCATGAGAAGGGTCTGCATTGTGGCTGAAAAGGACAGCTGATTTATTTAAGTTTATTCGTTGACCGCTCAACTCCTCGTATGCCCGTAATAGGGAAAGGAGAGATGAACAATACTCCGGCGAGGCAGTCAAGAATAGGTATGAGTCATCCGCGAAAAATAGATGGGAAATTACCGGACAACTAGGACGGATTCTGATTCCTTCAAGGTATCCTACGGAGGTAGCTTTCATTATCATGCTAGAAAATCCTTCAGCACAGATGGCAAAAAGGAGAGACGAAAGGGGATCTCCTTGTCTTAGTCCTCTTGAGGGTCTAAAGTACTCTGATGGGGTACCGTTAATAAGAATCGAATATGACACTGTAGTGACGCACTCTTTTACCCAGGATATGAATCTAGGATGTATACCAAGAATCCTCATCATTTCGAACAAGAAAGGTCATTCTATTCGATCGTATGCTTTCTCCATATCTAGTTTCACTGCCATCCACCATTTTTTCTTGGATTTCGAAGTTTTGAGATGATGAACCATTTCATGACTAATCAAGATATTATCTGAGATTTGGCGCCCTTTGATAAACCCGTTTTGTGTTGGGGATATGATCTTGGGAAGCACTCTACTCAACCCGTTTTGTTTTGATATTTTACGAATCGTTTCACCGTTAGTCACCTGCCGTTACACTCTGTTAAATTTGTCCTACGTGGCAGTCAACTATAAAGTTTGACTGTTAACTAGATGACGTGGAAATTAGAAAAATAAAAATAAAATAAATTTATTTGTTCAACTCATCACTATTCCACTTACTTTGTATATATTATTTATCATATTACTTATTAAATAAAAATTAACTAAATTAAAAAACAAATAATATGATTAATTTATTCTCCGCCAACAAAATAAATTAGATATCCCCAAATTTTGAATTTAAATTTGCTCTGCCTCCTGTCTGTCGACGGCGACCAGGGATGGAGATTCGTGGGAGGCCAAAGCTTTATTGGATTGAAGTCCTTACCTTCAGCGACCCTATTAGTTCTCAAAAAGGTCCATTCTCTCCCGTGTCTGAATGTTTAAGATGTCGTCCTTGATGAACCCGGCAGCCGGTGCTCCGTTACTCCAACTAGGTCCCATTTGTTAGTGTTGTGGTATATGATCCACGATTGAACCTCTCCCAACAACTCAAGTTATTGGGATCAACGGGTTCTTGACATGGTATCAAAGCCTAGAACCGAAAGGTCATGTGTTCGAATCTCCACGAACCCCAATATTAACAGTTTATTAATGCACAAGGTATGGTGGGCCTGTGCAAACTTCAAGCCCGTGAGTTGGCTTTCGTTTGAGGGGCGTGTTAGAGAGTGGTATAAGATCCAGCCGAACCTTCTCCCAACAACTCGAGTTATTGGGATCAACTGGTTCATGACACCATTCTCAGCCCTCGCTCTCGCCTTCCTCGTCGTCTTCTCATCACAATAAAGACAATGGTCCAATCTCTCTCGTAATATTGTTTGGTTTCTCTCTGGGCTCGAATTCGGAATCTTGATTTAGAATGAAGGAGGGGGGAACAGAGGTCAAATTGCGGGTTTCTAGCGGTTTCCTTCGCTTTTTGAAGAACTGGCAAGATTACCGATGTTATTAGTAATTATCATTTGGCCATAATTGCCTAACAAGATATTTGCTCGTGAGTTTGTCGAAAGCTTACTGTGTCTTATTGCAATGTTGAACTGTGATAAAAAAAATTCCATCTCAACAAATTAGTCAGGTTGTTTCACTTTGCATTGCAATTATCAATTGTGTGTTCCAAAACTCTTACCCGTCGTCGGCGGGGTCGTTCAGGCAGGAGCTCATCGAGCCGTTTTTCCGCCGAATGCTGGAGTTCTTCCGCGAGACCAGATGGTGGACGCTTACCCGTTCGTCGCTTACGAAGCGAATTCCGACGTCATCTCGCTAGACTACTCTCTATTCCGGGAGAATCCTGACGTCGTGGAGCCGGCAGCGGGATGATGTACTTCAGCGTCTTCGACGCCTAGATCGATACCGTGTTCGCACCGATGTTGGCGCTGAAGTTCGACGACATCGTAACAACGCTTTTGTGATGAAAACCCTAAGAACTTGGCTTGTCTCATTGATCTTTCAGCTTATATAGCTGTTTGCAGTAGTACAAGTGGGTTTGCATAAGTGTAGAAGAAGACAAGGTTCCTTCAACTACAAGTACAATCCGAAAAGGGTAAAGTGAAGAGAAACAGAAGTACAGTGAGCAAATATGAAATTGTCTATCCGCTCTTGTTTTTCCCTGAAACGATGTCGCTCCAGGTCCAGCTTGGTCTAGGTTGACTTAGTGGAACGCTATCGTCGAGGCATTGGATTTCGTCCGTTGTCGAAGTGGTGTCGTAGTGACTTCGCGGCGGAACGCCGTCGTCTGGAAAGCGGGATTGAGAAGAATTTGAATTCTTCTCTGATAGCCCCCCGCAAGCTGGTGGGCAGAGTTCATGGACACCAAGCTTGGAGAGCAGATGGTGAAAGATGGTCGGGGAGAGAGCCTTGGTGAAGAGATCGGCCAGCTGGTGGACAGTGGAGACGTGGAGGACCTTGATGGTGCCATCTTGAAGCTTCTCTCGGACGAAGTGACGGTCCAGTTCGATGTGCTTCGTCCGTTCGTGGAACGTTGGGTTCTCGGCGATGTAGATGGCCGATTGGTTGTCAAGTAGTGGGACGCTGCTTGAGGATGAGGGATTTTGAAGTCTTGAAGCAGGTAGAGGAGCCATTGCACTTCACATGTGGTGTATGCAAGGGCACGATACTCTGCTTCACATGAAGAACGAGAGATGGTGGTCTGCTTCTTGCATTTCCAGGACACCAAAGAGTCGCCCAAGTAGAC